ATGCTCAAGCTATGTACTCCCTCCTTTCCGGTTTATAGGGCTCAATTCAAAAATCTCACCAACCAAGGTAGATGGTGAGTGGTGTAATATTTTTTGTAGTTTGCAAAAGCACCTAATTAATGCTCTTGTTTTCCTCAAAAAATTGTGTTTATCAATGCATTAATTGCAATGCATGCATGCATTGGTCAATCTTCTCTTAATACTTGCATGCAATGATTTAATACACCTCTGATACCAACTTGTAACACCCACGATGCGGCTATATCTCCCACGTGTCGAACCATGACTTAGAGGCATAACCGCATGGTGGTTTTGTCGCAAGAAGGGTCATCTTCACACAATCCCATGTAATGAACAAGAATGGGATAAAGAGAGTTGGCTTACAATCGCCACTTCACACAATACATAATTAAGATCATACATCATTCAAAATACACTCATAGACCGGCTACGGTCAAATCCAAATGAAAAGAAGACAACCCCAAATGCTAGATCCCCGATCGTCCCGACTGGGCACCACTACTGATCATCTGGAAATGATACATAGTAACGGCCAAGGTCCTCGTGAAACTCTCACTTGAGCTCAGTTGCGCCATCTGCGCCGGTATCCTCGGCACTTGCATCTGTTTTGGTAGAATCTGTGAGCCACGGGGACTCAGCAATCTCACACCCGTGAGATCGGGACTATTTAAGCTCATAGGTAGGAAAAGGGGTAATATGGTGAAGCTGCGGCAAGCACTGAGCATATATGGTGGCTAACATTCGCAAGTGAGAGCGAGAAGAGAAGCAACGCATCGGTCGAGAAGCTAGAAGCGATCAAGAAGTGATCCTGAAACTATTTACGTCAAACATAACCCAAACCATGTTCACTTCCCGGACTCCGCCGAGAAGAGACCATCACGGCTACACACGCTGTTGATGCATTTTAATGAAGTCAAGTGTCAAGTTATCTACAACCGGACATTAACAAATTCCCATCTGCCTCATAACCGCGGGCACGGCTTTCGAAAGATAATATACCCTGTAGGGGTGTCCCAACTTAGCCCATCATAAGCTCTCACGGTCAACGAAGGATATACCTTCTCCCGGGAAGACCCGATCAGTCTCGGAATCCCGGTTCGCAAGACATTTCGACAATGGTAAAACAAGACCAGCAAGACCGCCCGATGTGCCGACAAATCCCGATAGGAGCTGCACATATCTCGTTCTCAGGGCACACCGGATGAACACTACGTACAACTAGAACCAACCCTCAAGTTTCCCCGAGGTGGCGCTATAAGTGGCTCTAGTTCGGACCAACACTCGAAGGAGCACTGGCCCGGGGGGGTTAAAATAAAGATGACCCTCAGGCTCGCGAAAACCCAAGGGAAAAAGGCTTAGGTGGCAAATGGTAAAACCAAGGTTGGGCCTTGCCGGAGGAGTTTTATTCAAAGCGAACTGTCAAGGGGGTCCCATAAATCACCCAACCGTGTAAGGAACGCAAAATCAAGGAACATAACACCGGTATGACGGAAACTAGGGCGGCAAGAGTGGAACAAGTCACCAGGCATAAGGCCGAGCCTTCCACCCTTTACCAAGTATATAAGGTGCATTAATTAAATAGGAGATATTGTGATATCCCAAAATATCCATGTTCCAACCAGGAACAAACTCCAACTTCACCTGCAACTAACAACGCTATAAGAGGGACTGAGCAAAAAATGGTGACATAGCCAAACAACGGTTTGCTAGGACAGGATGGTTAGAGGTTTGACATGGCAATAGAGAGGCATGGTAAACAGTGGCAGGTAGAGCTAACATAGCGATAGAGCGAGCAACTAGCAAATCAAAGATAGAAGTGATATCGAAGGTATGGTCATCTTGCCTGCAAGGTTCTTAGAGTTGTCGAAGGCTTGATCGTCGTTAGCGTACTCAACAGGTTCCTCGTGCACGTACTCGTCTCCCGGCTCTACCCAAAGCAAGAACACAAGCAATGGAAACACAATAAATCACGGAGCAATGCACAAGCAACATGATGCAATACATGTCATGATATGCGAGAGGTGATATGCAATGCGTATGCATGCCTCGGAAGGAAAAATGATGAACAAGGCATCAACTTGGCAAACCAAGTATGCCACTGGAAAGATGAGATGATTTCGGTTGAAATCGATATAAGGATCACCGAGAACGGATGCACAGTTTGCAAATGGCAAGCAAAACAAGAATGGCACAAATCTGCGATTAACAGCATGATGCTACTTAGCATGCAACAAGAAACTATGCTACAGCACCCCAACATACAAACAAAGCATATGGCAGTGATCTACAGGAGATGCTTAACAAAAGAGGAACACTGAGCTACGGCTAAATCACACCACAACGGGTTCAAACAAGCATGGCAAAAGTGCAAAAAAATATCAAGTTGGACATGGCATAAACAGCATCAAGAAGCAATGTTCAGAGCAAGTTATCAACATGCTACAGGAACTTATAATAGCAAAACAAGACATGGCATGATTCTACTCAAAGCATAGATCAAAAGTCCCTTACTGACAATGAGCCAAAAAGGACCAGAAGATATGATGGCACCCATGTAAACATAGCAAGTTTCGTTAACAGATTCAGCAAACAGAGCATGGCATTGACAGAATTACGAAGGCATCTTCGTGAGCTCGATGCACTCACTACAGAGTATTTCATGATAAACTAAGCATACTTCCATCAAGAAGACATGGCATAGAAGCTATACATGGCAAGAACAACATCATAGCATACACGGATCAACTACAACAACCTTGGCAAAATTGAATAACATGTAAACAATCTGCCAGAAAACATTTTGTAGCAAAAGTAGAGCACGAAAATGACATGCTAGACTACTCCATAATTGCAACCAAAGGCATGGATGGATAGAGCATAACCATATGTTCAAAACACCCTTACTGAAGTATCTCAAAATATGCATGCATCTCTCTGTAGCATCAAGTTTACATGGCATCAAAATAACAGCAGAACAGGGACTAAAATCAGCAACATCACGATGCCTAGTTTGCATGCTTGTGCTAGTCACCACATTGATCACAAAAATACATGGCAAATACCTCTATAAAGATGGCATGACATAGTTCAAATCATATGTAGACCTCATACCCATAAGATGCACACATCAATCATGGCAAAAATGACAAAAGTGCATGTTCTGATAAGAATCTGAATCTAACATTATGAAGCACTTTTCCAACAGCATTTCGGGCATCAAGATGAGTTCAAATGAAAATGATGCAATGAGATAAAATGATGTACTCGTCGAGACGAATAATTCGGTATGCTACACACCCAAAACGGAGCAACGGGTGCAAAGTTATGACATGAAGAACAAGGCATGATAAATATGCAGACTTAGCGAAAAACAGAGTCAACCCTGGTTTTATTCCAGATCTGGATCCGGCTCGACGCGCGGATCGAGGCGGCGCCGGAGCCTCGCCGGAGATGCTGGTCGGGAGGGGCCGGAGAGGAGCTTGGGGAAGAGGTGGCGGCGCGGTCGGACCCGGGCGCCGGGGCGGCGGGCGGAGGCGGCGACCGGGGACGCGGGCGGCGAGCTCCGGTGGCGCGGGCAGCGAACATGTGATGGGAAACAACCAAATTGAGCCTTATAAAATGGAAAAACTAAAATTTTGAGATAAGCCCTATAAACCGGAAAGGCATGGTACATGATAGTAAAAGGCATTACCATATGGCTTTAGCTTTTGGTGTGTTGCATCTATAATAACTGATAGGCCACAATCAATATCATGCTTTGACTGGTTCCGGCGTCCAATTGATCATGTCTTTGTTTATATATTCCGTTTCTATCCGTGCCCTCCTAAAAGTGATGGTATCGGTTGCCCAAAAACAAGGAATAAAGTGAAACAATTCGAGCGAATCACAAAGAGTATTAGATTTTTTTTCCTGGTTGCAAAGAAGGAGAAGAATTATGGTAAAGATGAGGATTGTATTAAATTCCCTTAGGTTTGTTTCATCATTTCAGAGAAAGAAATGTGAACCGAAAATTTCAGGCCAGCAAGGCTTTACGTATGTCATGTTCATATACAGGGCATGTATATAAATGCTTTAGTAAAACCCTTCAGTTACTTTAATTTTTCCTCTACTATATCATTATCTTGGATGTAAAACGGAATTCATGTAATCATGAGTTTGTTCAGTTAATGAACATCTTACCGGATTTTGTTTGATGTGCCTTGCTCTCAAAATAAGTACACTGGTTATGCACATGTAGATTGTATCTTAAGCAAGGAAAAACTTCATACTATCATGTGACTTGGAATTTTGGATCTATAGATAGCATCAAATTCTATAGAATGTATGCAACCTGCTGACTTTTGACACTAAAGGTGATAGATTCAATAACCAAATTAATAGAAATCAGTCCTTCTACATACCGCTAGAACTCTGGTCATTGGTCATAGTCCAGTCACAATATGCAGAAACAGAATAATAGAAAAATACTGTGACCCAACAAAACAAGGTGACTCAAGAGGAATCACACTGTTAAGGTCGGCTGTCAAGCATGTATGTTCTCAGCGCGGCAAAGCGGACATGACTTCTGTTTTCTAACTCATGCAATCCAAGAAACAATATCGCACTCTAACATGTCTTTGCATATACTTGGTCCCTATAAATTTATTAGTGCCTTTGTATTTTCGACAAAATTTCAACCACATAATTTAACTAATAAAACAAGTTATATAATATTGTTTGGAACTACTTTCGTGTACAAATCCAAAGGCAATTGACTCAGGTCAAAATTTGACCCAAAATACACAAGGACCCTTTAAACAGAAACAAAGAATGTACACGCAACCTCAAGGTACACATGCTAGATTACCAAACAGACCATCAAAGTACTCATACATCTCATAATAATTGTATTGCAATGCATTACAAAATATATTAAGTCATACAAAGAGGCTTTGGTCTCTTATAGAAGATGCATCGGTCTTGGGGAGACCCAAAAAGATTCAGAGAATGGACTGGATGCCAAACCTTCCAAAGGTGTAACGTTTAGACATGTGTTTGATCATCCGTACAGCACCCTCGCTGTTGTTGCAGCGGCGCACCTCGAGGCCAGTGAACACAGCAGACTCATCTTCCATATTTTCTGCCACATATTTGGATTTAAAGGTCTTGAAGAACGAGACCACACAGAACTTACCTGAGCCCAGGTTAACAAGGTGGCGCTTGTATGGAGTCTCATCATGCAGGTGGAGACAATCCCAAGTACGCAGCAAATCAGGTGGCAAATCAAAATCCATGGCAGGGAAGTCCAGAGCACACAAGCTGTGGGGGGCGCTAGGAGAGAGGGCGAACCAAAGCTTGAGCTCAGGGACATACTCTGCTTTGCCACAGAAGGGCAGCACCCAGTTACCAGCACGTGACCACTTGTGGTTAACCATATCAAAGGTATAGGTGCCTATGCCCTCTTCACTGGAGGATAAACACATTGTAGAACTGTCAAGCAACATGTAAGAATAGTTCATGGCGGCTCTACTGTTGGCAGGGTGCTCTGCGAACGCTGGCACTGGCAAATCATGCCATAACCAATTCAAATGGAAATGGGAAGACACCAGGGGGCGGGAGGAGTCCCGACTCCCTAAGTATGTCAGGAACTCAAAGCTGGAGGAATTGGTACTGCTACCTGGAACCAGATCCAGGACAAAGAGGCACTGGGAATAAGATTTTAAGGGCTCAGGATTAGGTATTGAGAAACAGATGCAATTGGGTCCCTTGCCATTAGGCATAGGGGGCATGGGTACCACGGACTTGAAGTCAATGTCTAAGAGTGTTGTACGACCAAATGAGTCAGCCAACATGATGGAGTTTTCTCTCAGTAGAGTGAAGAAATTAGATGCTTTGAAATGGGCGACTGGCTTACGCAGATCGTTCCAGGACTCTATCATTGATAGTTTATTCTTCTTCTTGGCTTTTGCATCTTCTGCTGCGTGCACTGCAATTTCTGCTGTTTCGTAGAAAAGGTGTCGGATGTCCATGCGGTACAGAGAATAGATGCTATCCCTTAGATCGTGCATTATGAGATTCAGAGACAGACGACCCATTCCTCTCCAAACAAATCGAATCCACTCGGTCTGGACTGATTTTCTAGAAAAAGAGAAAATGAAGCGATTATTTCTCTGAAGCGGTATGAACTTTGACAATCAGATATCGCATAACGGCGAAAAGAAATGTAAAGAAAATATGTGGAGACCGAGAAGTACACACCTGTGGCACAATCCCGCTTGCCTCCAATTCCTGACTAGTATTATCAAGGACTATCAGAAAGGAAATTGCTTCATATCGGGCCTGGAGAGCGGTGTGCCATCAATTATGTGAATCACACAGATCTTACACAAAACAAACTGGACGGAGGCCCTTGGCGAATAATACCTGAGAAGGCTGTGATCGCCTAGCTTGAAGACGAGCACCACAGCGGAAGATCTGCTCAGCAACGCTTGGAGGGGGAGGGGGGCGGCGGCGGCGGCGAAGCGGCGACAACGGAGCGAGAGGGATAGGGTTCTAGGTCAAGTCGTGTGTTGGAAGACTGGCACGACCGACACTGGGCCACGCTCGTCAGGAGGCCAACGCCATCGCGCGAGTCTCTCGGGAGACACGGCGCCCACGCGTGCATGCACGCCCACGCCTCCATGCACGACGTGATCCCTTCCGGCTCTCCCGTTTCTGTTGTAACTGATCTATCGATGTGTAAAGCCTGTGTATTTAAGTGTACTCTGTATCAATGAATGAACATAGACAGATTTCACTCGTCTAACTTGGTATCAGAGGTCGTTCGTTCCTCCCTCCGCTTCCGCCATGAGCTTCCGGCGCCCGCTCCGCCGCACCCGCTCCTTCGGGGATGCCGACGCACCCTTCATCCTACCTCCCGTCGCCCCCGGCCCCGAGCCCGCCGCACCGGCTGCTGACGCCGCCCCCGTGCCGCCTCCTGCAGTCGCGCCGGTGCCCGTCTCCCCCAACGCGCGCCTCCTTCGTCGCGCTGACGCCGCACCTGCGGTGCCCCCTCTCCGCGCCGTCCGCCCTCACGCCGGCGCCCTGGCGCTCGTGCCCCCGCCAGCCCAGGTTCCCATGATCCCTGCCCCATCCATGCATCACGTTAACATCGCCTCTTTCATCCCATTCAAGCTTAGCCTCGACGCCAACAATTATTCGAAGTGGCGCCACCTGTTCTGGTTCGTCCTCTGCAAGTATCACGTCGAGGAGCACGTTCTCGAGGACGCCGATCCGCTCCATGAGGACGCGGTTTGGCGCAATGATGACATCACGATCGCTCTTTGGATATATGCGACTATATCCGATGAGCTCTACGACGTAATCCAATCCCCCGAGAGCACGGCGTTCCATCTCCGGCAACAGCTGGAGGTCTTCTTCCGCGACAACGCCGCCGGCCGCGCCGTCCACATCGGCGCCGAGTTCCGGGCGACGGTCCAAGGCGACATGACGGTGGCGCAGTATTGCCGCCGCCTCCAGCAGCTCGCCAACGCCATGGCCGACGTGGGTGAGCCGGTCACCGACCGGTCGCTCACACTCCAGCTCGTCCGTGGCTTGAGCAGGCGCTTCCACGTCATGGCCACCTTGTTGCCGATGCAGCAGCCGTTCCCGACGTTCGTCCAGGCTCGGTCGCGCCTCCTCTTGGAGGAAATCGGCATCGCTGAGCGCGAGCGCGCCGAGGGGGCGTCCGCCCTCACCATCGGCCACGGGGGTGGCTCCTCGTCTGGCGGCTCCTCCTCCACGGATCGCCGCTCGCCACCGTCGCCTCAGGACAAGGGGAAGAGCCCCGCCGCCGGCAGCCCCTCCGGAGACCGTCAGCGCGGCGGGCGCGGGCGTGGCCGCGGCCGCGGTCGCGGCGCTCCCGGCGCCTCCTCGAGCTCCAACACGGGGCGCGGCGCTAGCGGGCAGCCCCAGCCCTGGATGGGGTACTTCGCACCGTGGGGCTCGCCCGCTCCGACCCCGCAGCAGTGGCGTTCGTCGTGGGTGCCGCCCAACTCGGCGGGTGTTCTCGGGCCACGCCCGGGGGCCCAGCACCAGGCCTACCCCGTCGCCGCCGGGCCTCCCCCTGCCGCGCCCTGGGATCCGCAGGCTATGACGCACGCCTTCGCCAACCTCCAGATGCAGCCGCCGCCGACCAGCAACAAGTGGTACATGGATACGGGTGCAACTTCCCACGTCGCCAGCTCCTCCGGTAACCTCACCAAGCCTTCCTCTTCTCCGTATTATCCCTCTAGTATTACTGTTGGTAATGGTTCGTCCATCCCTGTAGTTGCTGCCGGTTCCACCTCCCTCCCTCCTTTCCAATTAAACCACATCCTCATCTCTCCAACTATTGTTAAAAACCTTATATCTGTGCGTCGATTTACTCGTGATAATTTGTGTATTGTCTCTTTTGACCCCTTTGGCTTCTCTGTGAAGGACATGGCAACGGGGAAACTCATCATGAGGTCCAGTAGCTCCGGAGATCTTTACCCTTTCTTGCACAATAATGGCGGCTCCATGGCACTCTCCGTTTCGAGCTCCGGCGAACTATGGCACTTGCGGCTGGGCCATCCTAGCCATGTTTCCCTTTCTGCTTTAATGAACAACTTTTTAGATTCATGTAATAAATCGCAAGGTTCTTCGGTGTGTGAATCTTGTAAAATAGGCAAACAACCTCGACTACCATTTCCTCATTCCACTTCGTTTACTACAGAACCTTTTCAACTTATTCATTGCGACTTGTGGACCTCACCTGTTTGTAGTTTTTCCGGCTATCAATATTATCTTGTTGTGCTTGATGACTTTACTCACTACTCTTGGGTGTTTCGCTTACGCCACAAATCCGACACCGCTGCCACGCTCTTACGTTTCTTCTCCTACGTTAACACTCAATATAATCTCTCTATTAAATGTGTGCAGTGTGACAATGGCGGCGAGTTCCTCTCTCTCTCTACGTGACCACTTCTCTCGCCATGGCGTCGCCTTCTGCCTCTCCTGCCCACACACTTCACCTCAAAACGGCAAGGCCGAACGCCTTCTTCGCACCACTAACGATGTCCTCCGCACTCTTCTCATCCACGCACATATGCCGCCCGAGTATTGGGTCGAGGCACTCCACACCGCCAACCATCTTCTCAACCGGCGACCCTCATCAACCATTAACCAGCACACACCCTACTACCTCCTCCACAGCGAACACCCCACGTACGACCATCTTCGCGTTTTCGGATGCCTTTGCTTTCCCAACCTCACCCACCTCGCGCCACACAAACTAGCCCCCCGATCCACTCCTTGCGTCCTACTCGGGTACCCCCTGGAGCACAAAGGCTACTGCTGCCTCGATCTACGCTTGCGCCGCGTTTATATTTCTCGCCACGTCACTTTTGACGAGAAGAAATTTCCCTTTGCTACACTTAGCACACCGCCGCCCACAGACCCTCCTGCCACACCAAATCCGCCGCCCCTGCTAGCCCACCCCGCAATCTTACCTACCTCGTACCCTCCGGGATCCCCACCGATCGGATCCGCTCAGGGCTTCGCGCCCAATCCGCGCGCTCCCGTTCCCCCAGATCGCGCGCCACACGCACCCGTCGCACCACCTGACCCGGCCCCGCCCAGTCCAGCCTCCCGTTCCCCCGCGCCTGTCTCCCCCGCGCATGCCGCGACCCCGCCGCCTACCCCACCCAGCCATGCAGCCAACCCGACGGCCTCTCCCATGCATGCGACCAGCTCGCCTCCTCCCCCACCTCGCCATGCAACCAATCCCGGCGCCTCCACTGATTCCCCCTCCACGCCTCCTCAGCGCCCGCTGCCACCTCGAGTCGTTCCCGTCGTACCGCCACAAAACCTCCACCCCATGCGCACCAGAGACAAGTCTGGTTATCTTTTGCCTAAGCAACACATCAGTCTCTCCGTCACCACCGATATTAGCCCTCTCCCTTCTTCCTACCGAGCAGCTCTCAAGGATCCGAACTGGGCCGCTGCGATGCTAGAGGAGTATAATGCGTTGTTGCGGAATGACACTTGGTCGTTGGTTTCCCGTCCTGCAGGTGCGAACGTGGTGAGTGGCAAGTGGATCTTTCGCCACAAGTTCAACCCCGACGGCTCGTTGGCTCGGTACAAGGCGCGGTGGGTGCTCCGCGGCTTCACTCAGCAGGCCGGCGTTGACTACGGTGAGACGTTCAGTCCCGTTGTCAAACCCGCCACGATCCGGGTCGTCCTCAGCCTCGCCGCCGGCAGCTCGTGGCCCATCCACTAGCTCGACGTCAAGAACGCCTTCCTTCACGGGCACCTCTCTGAGACCGTCTACAGCATGCAGCCCGCTGGCTTCATCGACTCCTCGCGACCTGGGGACGTGTGTCGTCTCAACCGGTCACTCTATGGGCTGAAGCAGGCGCCTCGGGCATGGTTTGCTCGGTTCACATCGTACCTGCTCTCTCTTGGGTTCCATGCTTGCAAGGCTGACTCCTCGCTCTTCTCCATCCACCGTGGTCGTGACACCGCATACCTCCTCCTTTATGTCGATGACATTATCCTCACCGCTAGCACGCCTGCCTTCCTTCGCTCCATCATCAGCTCGCTGCATCGTGAGTTTGCCATGACCGACATGGGTCCCCTACACCACTTCTTGGGCATCAACGTCCACCATACCACCCACGGCCTTCACTTATCCCAGGAGCAGTACGCACTTGAGATCTTGGATCGTGCCGGCATGCTTAACTGTAAGCCCGTGTCCACTCCCGTTGACACCATGTCCAAGCTCTCTGCCACCGACGGTCCTGCCTTCCATGATCCATCTCTCTACCGGAGTCTGGCTGGGGCTCTCCAGTACCTCACCCTCACGCGTCCTGACTTATCCTACGCTGTCCAACAGTGTTGCCTGTTCATGCATGATCCCAGGGACAGTCACTTCCAGATGGTGAAGCGGATCCTCCGCTACGTGCGTGGTACTGTGCACCTCGGGTTGCACTTTCACCGCTCCGCCTCCAGCGACCTCACGGCGTACTCCGACGCGGATTGGGCGGGCTGCCCGGACACCCGCAAATCGACCTCGGGCTTTGCGGTCTTCCTCGGC